AACCCTGTATATATATTCACATTTCAATATTGGCGCTATAATTATTAACGATATTGAGCCATCCAGTATGTTGCATATAGCCAATATTGTACGAATATATTTTGCTTCCTGGGATATGTATCCCAATATTTACTGAATATTGGAGTAACATATTTCACCAATATGTAATAATGTTCACATTTCAATATCGGCGCAATATTTATTAACAATATTGAGCCATCCAGTATGTTGCATATAGCCAATATTGTACGAATATATTTTGCTACCTGTTGATACTTACAATATGAATTTCGATGTAGTCGTTCGAAGTCCCGCTGACAATTTTCAGCAAGACTGCGTCGGATTTGGTCGTAATGAAGCCGAGGGCGATGGAGTCTTCTTGCATTTCCGGCCGATGGTCTTCTGGGAACGTGTATGTTATTATGCCAGGGTTGGGGCCGAATTCGTACGAAACCGACTCTGCAACAAACCAGTTTTAGCGGATTCTAATCAATGGTTTGGGATAAAACTACCGTCTGAGCATGTGGGGCCTGTGAATGACGTCAAATCACAGTCGCAGCTGTAGGAGTTCCACTGCTGGACGCAGATGCCTGCATTGGCACACACGTTGTGGCTGCACTTGGCTGATTGGCCTGCAACCGCACCAATCAGACGCCAAAGGGACAATGCAATGAATCGCTGCTACCTTCACAACCGGCTGTAACCAGCGAACTGTGCACGACTGCGTCCTCCATAATGTTCGGAGACTCGCCGTTGAGGTCCAGGCCGGCGATGCAGCCCTCAAATCCATGCCGCGACTTGACCTCCTCTTGAGGCAGTTGAGCGTAGAGGTCTTTGTAAACGCCGCCCAAGTACAAAATGCCCTCCAGTTCGAGATTGCCTGTGCCATAGTTTGTGGCTATCACGATGTTGTCGTCCACCATCAGCGTGTGCTGACGGGCCGAAGGTCTTCGGATGCCCACCGTGTGCCATCTGTTGTCATTCAAATGCGCCCTAAATCCCAGCAATGGAAATTTAGGTATCGCTTTGGCTATCGAACGGTGAACCACAGATTACAGAGTATAGATTGGACAGTTTTGCTTTCTCGCCAAAATGATTTTGCTAAATGCAACCACAGAGAGGCGTCGGCCAAAAATCCAGAGGATCAGCTGATTGTTTACATGCGTTTGTTTTGCACATATGTCCCTAAGAGGACTCTGCACATACAGTATTTTACAGTTAAGATTATTCCGTCAATTTTCAATCTTTCATGCCCGGTTTCCGAACTCCAACATATCGGTTACATAAGCTTATGAGCCTCATAAACTACCAAAATCACGTCTGTTGGGTTTCTCAACGTCTGTGTAAAGCTTATTGGTTCCATAAGTTATCGAATAGATATCTACTCGAAGATGGATGGATATCGGCTTCATAACGTCTGACGCAAGCGTGTAGGGTTTGTTTTCATTTTTACAACAGAGCGATTCTAACCTAACATAACCTATTCTTATTACATAACAGCATTGCATAACAGTTTTGTTTTGTTTAACGTATAAAAATTTATTATCATTATTTAAAATGGATAATTCGAGTTCATCTTCTGATGACGAAATTATTGAACTTCTAAGTTATATTGAACGCCCAAGACATACATTGAAACACTGTTTCAATGTATTATTGAACCTTATTGGGGACTACCTTCAAACATATACTGTGAGAAGGAATTAATTGTCCGTTAGTGAACAGTTATGCTGAATTCAGATAAAAACCCGAGAGCTTTTACATCAAATGTGTGGCTGTTTTTTGAAACATCTTCAAACCATATGTTTAGCGACCGATCAAAATGAGTTTTTTTGTGGCGTCATCTAGCTTGCGATGCACAATAGTGAAAGTTCTTTACTATCCGCTTCTTT